CGTCGATCGGCCCCAAAAAGTCGTTCTAGGAAAGCAGCGGTCATGGCTGCCATAAATAGCCACGGTACGCTATGGGCTGAGCGTATAAGGCCACTGGTTCACGAACTGCTGAAGGAAGAGAAGGATGTCACACTGGCGGAGCACCAGCAAATAACTGCAGCCTATCCGAACTTGACTCTGTGAAGGCTGATAGAGGGCCTCGGGTTCTCGTATAAGATTCTCAAGGGACATATACATTATAAGATTTTCAAGGGCAACGATACATATTCGAGCGCACGGATCTTGCCCGCAAGCGATCCTTATACTTGAGAAAGGTAGAAGAGGCCCGAGGAAGAGGGGGTCTACATGGACGAAACATGGGTCTTCCGGAGGTATGGTTAAGAAGAGAGGATGGATCGACAACACGTTGTCGCGCTTCCCTACCGCCGAAGAGCTACGTCAGTACTCTTGCGGCAAGACTGCTGGAAAGAATAAGGGAAGGCGCGGCATTGTTATAACGGCACTGTGCGATGGAGGAGTGGATACCCGGTTGCACCCATGTTTTCGTCAGTAGGCAACGGACCTGCGCAGGACGAAGTTCACCGAGAAGATGGATCATTCGGTGTTCGAGGAGTGGCTAAGGTCCGCAGTCCCCTTCATGAAGGAGTTCGCAGCGGGTCGGAACGTTACTCTAGTACTCGACAACGCTCCGTATCATACTAGAGTGCTAGAGAAGGTAGGTACAGAATATAAGCATGCAAAAATCGTGAAAAAAATTTAATTATATCAGGTTCCGACGAGAAGCTCCAGGGTGCAGGAAATATGGAATTATCTCAGCTCGCACGGCGTCGAAGTGGGACTAGATAGTACAAAGGAAGCTCTTTTAGAAGAGGTTGGTGTACGTCTCAAAACGGCCGTAGCTGCTCTCTCCAAGCAGTATTTAGCTCGACCACTTCGTCGCTAGTCGAGGCGGTGCAGCAGCCTTGCGCTGTTACGCCGCTGAAAAGATCTGCGAGGATATGGGAGTGAACCTCCTGAGGCTCCCTCCATTCCACTGCTATTTTAATCCTGTGGAGCTTTGTTGGAGTAATCTCAAACAGCGCCTCAATAAGGATGGATGGGATGTCTGACGTATAAGCTGGAAATGGTAAACTTTTCCGAATATTCTTTGCATCCTGGTTACTTCAATCAACATTGTTTCATTCTTTAGGTCAGAGTAGGACTGTTGAAATTTTGGGAAAGTGTGACGAGACAGCTCTGTGAGGATGGTGCAGGGAAGCGATAAGAGAGGAGGATAGCGCGACAAGAGAGGAGGCTAAAGGAGGCTCTAGATGCCAGAAACAACGGCTGAAGATGAGGACGTGTCGTCCGCGCCCCACAATTAATCTGATAATAGCCTATTCGATGGATTTTCCAGTGAATTTAGTGCAGGGATGTAGATATTTCTTGTGTTGTTTTTACAGGTTCACATTTGCTCATTCTCAAGGGGTTTCTGTCGTGTTTATAACAGCGGATTGAACTTGTTATTTCGGTTAGTGATACTTCATTTTTGTTGTGCTTCAATAGCATGAAACTGAAATTTTGTTGTGGCTTACAGCGGGTTTTTTTACTACTACCGGTCCATCAAGCTGTTTCCTACGGGTTTTCGTTATTCAGTTTACGATTTTGTTATAGTTATAGAGTTATGGTTTCCAGTTGAAGTTCTCACTTGCTTTATGTATTTCTTCGCTTAACTACCTCGTCTCCTAAACTGTTTCACTCGGTGATTCTAACATATTCCCAGTGTTTACTGCTTCTAGGTCTTTGTTTGTGTGTCACTTTTCATTAATAACTAACTATATATAGCAAAAATGAAGTGTTACCAAAATATTTCCTGCAGGGGAAGACGAGAAAAATTATCCCAGTACTTGTTAGTAACAAAATCGTGGATGGTCGCAACAGGTTAGAAAGCACAAAAGTGGTACAGCATCACAGAACAGCCACATGAAATGAAACTGTGTTTGTTAGTAACAAAAGAAGCTGTAGCGCAGAACAGAGGCGACAAGCAGTGAACTGAAAACGAATCACAGCAATATGCAGCACTGTTCTGATAGAATTGGAGACCAAATCGTACCTCCTCGGAAAAATTGTGAAGAAGCCGTAAATGTCACCAACGAGCACAACATAAAACAAACAACAACGAAAATAAAACACCACAAAAAAATCAAAGCAGCGACGATTGCAGCACTTCGAAAAAATAGGCATTAAAACCCTGCGAGCTTCGAAACTGTCAAGTGTGGTCTAATCATAAGCAAGAAACGAAGAAGCAATCGAAGAGAAAAAAGGGTTATAAAAAGTAAAGCCTAAGACTCACGGACTAGGAGAAACCCAGAGCAGCATAGTTCGAAAGAAAACACATTCCAAAAACACTGCGAGCTCAAAACTGTGTCAAAAAGTGTTTCGAACATAAAAACAACGACAAAGTAATGAAGTAGCACTCAAACAAAAAAGAATTGAAAGAAAATTAAAAAGGAAACTCACGCAACAGGAGGAAAAGCGACCACAGCGGCGAACCTTCAACAAAAAACGTGTTCCAAAAAGACCGCGAGCTTTGAAGCTATGGCAAGCTGTGTTCTAAACTTGAACAAGAACACGAGGAAGCCATAGCGATAAAGGAGCAGTCAAACAAAAAAACTGACGCAGAATAAAAAAGGAAACTTACGCACCAAGCCGGTCACTGCAATGTAGCATGACAAAAACGTTTCAAAAAGACTGCGAACTTCAAAACTCTGTCAAAGTGTGTTCTAATCATAAACAAGAACACTACAATGATAAAGTGATGAAGAAGCAGTCACACAAAAAAGAACTAGCAAAAAATAAAAAGAAAACTCACGCAACTGAAGAAAGAAGTATCACAGCAGCAAAGGCCCGAAGTAGGGAAGTACCACTTTACTGCAAACTTCATACCTATGTGAAAGAGTGTTTCAACCATAAACAGAAACGTCTAAGACACAAGTGAGAGTCAAAAAGGGAAAAAAAGTGCCAACCTATTGAATAAATGCCTAAAATAAGGCAAAATACAAGGAAAATAGAGAAAAGATAATAATAGACATAAAATCAAAGAAAATTAAAGCCAATACATTTTGAAATTGTTCAAAACAACTCACCTTCCACTTTCAAAGCTTGAAGAGCTGAAAAAGTGGGATTTCGCAGCCGATTTCCATGGAAATCTAGCGGCAACGTGACTTAGATACCCGGTGGGCGTGGCCAAAATAGGGCGAGGGCTTGACGTGGACGGATATAATTAGGCTTCAGCGCTTCTTCCTGAGCTTGGAGACGATAATTTCCTTCTTATTAAACAGCTGTGTGTTTCTACTGCTTGAACTAAGAAGTTCCGAGAGGAAGAATTAACTTTAGATTGGAATTTATGCTTTTTGCAAAGGTATACATTAGGCAGAGGCGAAAAAGTGGTTATCAGGTCTTACGTATGATCATGAAATCAACATTAAGCACACCTTGAAGACAATAGGAACGTTTACCTTGTAAACGGTGCTCCCGTCTAATATCTATTGCGGCACAAATTTGGGAAACACCGGTCCATTTCGAAGCCTTGCCCCTGTGGCCACGCCCACCCGGGTATCTAAGTGCACGCACCCAAATCAGCTGTTTCGCCTAGGCAACTATCACTGAGGGTTGCAAGATAGCTGTCAACCAGATGCTCTTCGCTGTGAGGGTTCAGAGGTGTTTTCTCATCGCATCTTCTGTTCGAGCATTTAGAGGAAGGAAAATAATGAAGAAGGATGAAAGAAGGAAGGAAGAAAAATAAGGAAGGAGGAAAAGTAAGGCTCTGCGGTCGACAGATATCCTGAGACACCAAACCGCAGCCGCTGTCGCGTCACAGTGCAGTGCAACGCGGCTCAACCGTCCCGACAGTCCGCAGTCCGAGGACAAGAAATGAAGAGCAGTTAGTGTGTTTTTCAGACTCACCTAATGATCTTTTAGATGGGACCACTATCCAATTGTTACTACCCCATCTTCCGACATCAAACCAGTTACAATCATCTTTTTAAAAAAAGACTGAAATTTGTTTCCAGATCTTCAACCCTCGAATACGAATATCGCTTCTTTTGGCCAGGAATTCCCCGGCACCAACGCCACGGTCCCACAGCTCAAGCCTTTGCGCTCCAACCGCTATGAAGAGTGGCGTCCTTCGCGCGCCAGACCGTAACTCCTCCAAGCGTATTGAAGTGAAGTCTGTGTTTGAGTGTTCCGAGGTTGTTTTTTCGCTTCTTCAACCATTGAGGAGCTGCCTATGGGATACTGGTTCATGATGGAGCACCAACTACCCACAACACTTGATCGCAGGAAGTGTTTTAAAATTATGCAAATATTTTTGAAGCTGTTTTGTTATGATAACTGCTGTTTAACGCCGCAGTACGCGTTCCGAATGTTATCACAAGAATGCTGAGTTGTGGGCAAAAGTCGTGCCCCAGGCGGGAGTCGAACCCGCACCTCACGCTTTCCGGGCGAGTGCGCTATCCCTTACAGCACTCACACGTTTAACTTGGTGAGCCGGTCAGCCGTAATCGTTAGATATCGGCATGGAACCGCAAGGCCGAAGGCTTTACAAGTTTTTGAAGCTGTTTTGTTATGATAACTGCTGTTTAACGCCGCAGTACGCGTTCCGAATGTTATCACAAGAATGCTGAGTTGTGGGCAAAAGTCGTGCCCCAGGCGGGAGTCGAACCCGCACCTCACGCTTTCCGGGCGAGTGCGCTATCCGTTACGCCACCAGGGTACGTTCACACTAAGTTAATGTGAGTGCTGTAAGGCGGCATAAGCCGTTAAGCTGAGAGGCTAAAAGTGGCCCTGG